CGTCTTTAAAAATACTCGTACCAAACCGAGGGACTTGCCTTTAAATAGTCACTTCGGCTGAGGAACTCGACCCAAGCCAAGGGACTCATATGCTTTTAATATAAAGGCAACACCTACCCAAAAAAATCCCTCTTAAGGTGAGAGATATGCTTCGAATGGAAATAAGATACTTAAAAACACTTCGTCCTTAGCAAAGCCCTTGTGCTTGAGGAATTATGTAGTGTTATATTTGTGAAGCTCATAAATCAGGGTGCCCTCGTCCAAAAATCTGTATCGATCAGGCAATGTCTTAAGGAATCGCCTACGGGTACCGATGACGTGTAATGGTGTCCGTTAAAGGAGATGAAATCTTCCACTACTCTTGAAAGAAAGGTGGGAAGGTTTCCACCATCCAGATTACCCAAACCTTAAGCTTAATGGGCGTCTATAAATATCCCTTCTCTTAAAGAGAGAAATGTAAGATCTTAAATCATACTTATAATTACACCTTAAAGCATAGCGCTTATAAAAGATCATTTTTCGTATGATTACACTTCTAAGAAGTTTAATTTTAAGCACATTATCCATCAATCGGGTCTCTCACCTCACGAAGAATACATATTTATACTTTTTGAACAATATATATATATATATATATATATATATATATATATATATATATATATATATATATATATATATATATATATATATATATATATATGTGTGTGTGTGTGTGTGTGTGTAGTTTTAAATATTTGAGACTTCCTCTTAAATATATTTGTCATCTGCCAATAAAGATTAACTAAGTTGATGTTGATAATGAGTTGCATTGCAAAGCTGATATAGTCACAATTGCATAAATCTTTCTTGATAAATAATATATAAGTACAAATATTGTTTTGAGTTATGAGAACTATTCTTGAGTTCGTAAGATCAACTCACATAAATAAATATTTTCAATAAAAGAACATATATTTATTATTTCTGATTCATACCAAATACATTTCTAAAAAAAGCATCGACCCATGATATGTTACTAGGAGAGGATATAGATGTAAACCTTAATTAGAATAAGAAACAAATATGAATTTTCTAAAATTAAGAAGACAAAACCGTATCATAACCACCATGCTACAACATTGACCTGGAATGTGCTTACCCCCATTGGGGTATTTTTTACAAACCCTGTCTTTTCTTATGTTTTTCAAAACCTCTTTCTTCAACCTTTCATAATTCTCTTGTGAATAAAATTTTCTTTTTAAAAAGGTTAATTTTTTCATGGGTGTGATTTCAAATAAGCTTTCAAATTGCAGTTTGCAATTGTACATCATCATATACGATTTCAATTTCAATTTCAAAGATTATAAGAGTATTAGGTTATGCAATTTGCATATCTAAATTAAATAATTGAATTGAAATTAATGAGTTCCTCAAATGTTACATATTCCTTTATCACAAACACCGACCAAACAACCCAGGTTTGTTTCAATAAGATTATATCACACACTTCCACGCTTTGGATTGACAATGCTTTAGAACAAATACTACCTGCATTTGTTCTTCAATTTGCTCTTACAATTGCAGTCAATCGCGCTCTCCTCTTCCTTGCTGAATCATGCAATTTACCTCGCATTGTTCCCAACGTTTTTGTAAGTACATTACATTTGATCAATGTTGTTGTATTTTCTATAGCTCTTTCTGTTTGTAAAAATGCGTGAACTAACAACTTTTGTGGATGTTTTGCTAGACTGGTTTTTTGTTTGGTCCATCAGCTTTGGGAAAATGGAAATATCTCTTCGAAAACATATTCCCTTACAACAGTATGTTATCATTGGAGACAATGGGAGCATTAACACTTGTTTACTACGCGTTCTTGCTTGGGTTAGAACTCGACTTGAAGCCAATTACAAAATTGTACTATAATAAGAAAGCAACTGTTGTTGCACTTGCTGGGTTAGTCTTCTCTTTACCGGTTGGTATTGGTTTATACTACCTTCTTATAACCGATATGGGTCGCAAATCATTGTCGCGTTTAGATAGTGATAAAAACATGAGAGGTGCAATATTTTGGGGGCTAACACTTTCTTGTAGCAGTGAGTTTCCTGAGGTTGCTAAAATCCTTTCGGATTTGAAGCTTTTGCTAACAGAGAACGGGCAGTTGGCTTTAACTTCTTCGTTGATTAATGACTTGTTCTCTTGGACGCTGCTTTTGTTGGTTCTAACACAATTGTATTATGCTTCCTTGTTGTCACTGTTTGTCACCCTCGTACTTGTGTTGGTATGTTTTTATGCGATTTCTCCTTTCGCTAAGTGGCTTGTTAAAAAATTTGGAAATGGTGATCGTGAGTTTGTCGAGACAGAAGTTGTGTTTCTTCTTCATGTGGTTTTGATCATTGGATTAGTCTTTGATGGGTTAGGTGCACATTCGATAACAGGTGCTTTCTTTTTAGGAGTTATTATACCGAAGGGTTCACTTAACAATGCAGTTCAAGATAAGACTTTTGATTTTGTGTCAGTGTTCATGATGCCTCTGTTTTTTCTCATTATTGGGGAGAGAACCAATATTCAAGATTTGGTTTTGGATACACATTGGATAACTGTTGTGATTGTTATTGTGTTGGCTTTCTTGGTAAAATTGGTGTGCGTATTTGCAGTTTCTTGTATATATCAGATGCCATACATGGAAGGGTTAACCCTTGCATTTCTCATGAATACTAAAGGAACAATGCCATTAATCATTTTATACACCGCCATGGATAGACTAGTAAGTTTCCCAAGGACATTAACATAGTATACTCTATACAGTAATTATATACTAAAGATTTAAGGTTGATTAGTAGCACATAAGACATTAAAATGCTACCAAACCACTCCTTAATACACATTTTCATCTCATTCTTTATTACCATGTGACACTTACAAATTTTGCCAGTTAACATAAGTTTATATGCATATATACTTGTTATGTAGGAATTGGAGAGCCAACCCTTTGTGGTGATGTTATTGGCATGTTGGTTAATGACGGCAATTTCTGGTCCTGTCTTAGCTATGATCACAAAAACCCTTACTACAGGCAAAGTTCTTGGAATTCAAAGGAAGAATATGCAAGGCACACGGCCAGACTCATCACTTAGAGTGTTGGCCTGTGTCCACTCAAAACACGATGCCAATGCCATCATCGACCTTCTCAAAGCATCAAGTCCATCTGTTAGGTCCCCTATTCAGGTATGACGGTGTTCTTTCTATAATTTTTCATGGTGCGGAATTTGTACTATCTAGCAACTCTTCTAATGCTACAAAAAAGTTTTATGCACAGAATCAAATCATATTTTATCAGTGTTATGCAGTGATATTACTTTCTAACATATATTCAAAAATATCTACCTGATACAATTTGTTTGAATTTCTTTGTTAAATTTGTATTTGTGATGTGACATACACGTGAATGATACAAGATTTAAATACAATTTCAAATTCAGGTGTTGGCAGTGGAGTTGATCAAGATGACAAACCGACCAACTTCATCACTAATCATAAAAGAAGCTAAGAAGCCATCATTTCGCTCAAATTCAAGCAAGCTAGAAAACTTAAAGCGAGACACTGGGGACAACCTTGGCAGCTTCGATAACCTCAGCCAAGCCATCTTTGCTGACAAACTCAGAGTTATCTCCCAATATAACTCCATGCACAAAGATATCATAAACCTCTGCACCCGCAGACATGTAAACCTCATCATAACCACTCTCTACAAACAACCGACCTACGACGGATTAGGCGCCGGCACTGCCACCGCTAGAGCCATTAACATAATCAACAGAGACCATGCAAACAGAGATGAGAAGAAAATAGTGTTGGAGAATCTAATAAAAGAAGCACCGTGTTGTTTAGCCGTTTTTGTCAACCGTGGTTTCGGCGGTGAAGAGAATAGTTCTGAAGAGAAGAGAATCGCAATGTTCTACATTGGTGGTGTTGATGACCGTGAAGCACTTTCTTATGCTTGGAGAATGAGCAGGAACATGGAGGTTCAGTTAACAGTGGTTAGGCTTGTTTGGGACAATCCTGAAGATGGGTTTGATGAAGTGGACAGAGAATATTTAAAAGCGTTTGCACATCAAACAACGGATACGCCAACGGTGAGGTATCTGGAGAAAACGGTGAAGAATGAGAAGGAAACCGTGAAGCTTTTAAATAGGATAGGGAATAAAGGATTTGATTTGTATATTATTGGGAGAGGACATGGGAGGAAGATGTCATTGGCACAAACAGTTGATCCTGTTTTGGATGAGCCTGTTTTAGGTCCTCTTGGGGATACTCTGTCTGATTTAAATTCTGCTTCTAAGACATCTATCTTGATATTTCAAAGATATGCTGAAAGATATGCTGAAGTTCAGGGTGGCGGTGGTTCGGGGAAACATGATGTTTCTGCAACGCCTGTGCAGTTTTTTGATGGTGTTGTGGATTCACAACAGGAGATGTTTCATCCACCAACAACATTAGGCCACAATATTGATGTATAAAGATCATTTGGGGCGAATGGTGGAAATATTGTCATTGGAACATATGTACGACACGATTTAATGGCTAGAGGGTAGTGTTGTGTGAATTGGTACATGACTACTGAAAAACTGACTTGTACATATTTCTTGTTTCCTTGAAGAAGTCTCTTAGGTAGAGTATGGAGAGGAAATTGGTACATTGCTACAATTATTTTGTATCCTTGACTGAATTGTTTAAACGATTGCGTTGATTCGTTCATTCGTTCATTCGTTCATTTTCACGTGATTTATCGTCTTTTTCTCTCATGTTAATATGAGAATAGTAGTTTGTTGCACTAACACTAATAAACAGACATGTTTTGATACAAAAGTACGTAAGAAATGCACAAGTGCATCACTTTTCCCTCATAAAAAGAACAGCTTTATTACACAAAACAAAACCTCTCACCAAGTGCAAACGTAATGTAATGCATGATAGTATATGATTACAGTGTATGATATTCTGAATTGTTATACAGTATACTATATCTCTCCCTTGTCCTTCACATTAATTTCATGACCTCCATCTTCAGCTTCTTTAATCTGCCTCTCTATATCTGCCTTCTTTTCCACAAGTGCTTCTATTTTTCCATTCACTTTTTCAAGCTTTTGTTTCAGCGCGCCAACATCATTGGTCTTTGAAGCTTTTTTCTTCTTCTCTCCCTTGTCTTCCTTTTTCTTCTTCTTCTCTTTAACTTCTTTCTTGTCGTCTTCTTTCTCCGATTCCTTCACTGTTTCTTCTATACCAATATCCCTTACAGATACTTCACCCTCTTCTTTCTCATTTTTATCCTTCTTTTTCTCTTTCTTATCCTTATTCTTCTTTTTCTTATCTCCATCACCATCCTCACCTTCTTCATTCTTCTCCTTCTTTTCCTTCTTCTTCTTTTTCTTATCTCCATCACCATCCTCACCTTCTTCATTCTTCTCCTTCTTTTCCTTCTTCTTTTTCTTATCTCCATCACCATCCTCACCTTCTTCATTCTTCTCCTTCTTTTCTTCACCATCCTTGTCTCCGTCTTCTTTTCCCTTCTTTTCCTTTTTCTTCTCCTTCTTTTCTTCACCATCCTTGTCTCCGTCTTCTTTTTCCTTCTTTTCCTTTTTCTTCTCCTTCTTCTCTTCACCATCCTTGTCTTCATCTTCTTTTCCCTTCTTTTCCTTCTTGTCCTTTTTCTTTTTCTCCTCCTTATTTCCATCACCATCTTCATCAGTTTTCACATCTTTTTCCTTTTTCTTCTTCTCTTTATCCTTCTTATCCTTACCCTCTATCTCATCTTCCTTCCCCTCTCCATCAGTTTTGTCCTTCTTTTCCTTTTTCTTCTCCTTATCCTTCTTTTTCTCTTCATCATTATGTTTCTTCTCTCCCTTACATTTTGTACTCTCCAGATCTTTTTCTATCTCAACCTTCTCTTCTTTTACATCGATCGGTGTTTTATCTTCAATCTTGTTTTGAACGGAGTCTTCCATATCTGCACTAATGTAAACAATGTCTAACAAATGAATATCCAGAATAAGTTTGATTCTGTACTCTAGTTTCTCAAATTTTCATGTGTAAATGAATGCATGTAATATAATAATAACATTATCACATAAGAGAAACTTGATAAAGAAAAAACAGATCTGAAACCATAAACAAAGATTCAAACATGTGAGGAATCCATTTTACTCATTGATTTTTGCATAAACCTAGAAAATTTGATAACAGATATCAGCTCTTTAAAATTCTGTTATTGTAGATGCAAAATAAAATCTGAATTAGATCCAGCTACATGTAAATCAAAATTAATAGTACCTGATTGATGTTTGGATTTGTAGAATTTGTGGTGTTGTATGAATTTGTGTAGAATTTGGTATTTGGTGGTATTTATAGGTTTTCGGTGAGTGATTTGTTAAGGGTACGATATTGTGACGTGGCAGCCTCACTCTGATTTACGCGTAGCAACGAAAAGTTGAAGAAGTGGTTTTGATTTCAATGACAAAAGTGATGTCGGTTGGGGTTGGGGCCATTCTGTTCTACCAAACAAACCATCTTGACGGTGCCTTTTTTACTTGCTCCCCGTGTTGTGTCCGTGGCTTTGCCGATATATTTTTAACAATTTTCATCTTACAAATGTAATATCAATTATTTTGATCTTTAGCGTAATGATTTTTATTAAAATATCTCTAAATATTTAATAATTATTTAAATTTAGATTTCTTATTAATAGAGTTGAGAAGGATAGAGTGTCATTTAAGTTGTGTAAAGAAGGAGATCCATTTGGAGGATTATGTCTCACTCCCTGATTTGGGGAAGTGCATTTTTCAACAAGTCCAAGAGTATAATATGGCAAAAAGTAATAGTAAGATTGCTACCAAAATTCATCATAGGGATTCGATTGATGTTAAATGGGAAACTCTTAGGAGCAAGGAGAGTCAAAATTAACTCAGATGGAGCTAGAGATAAGAAAGGAATTGCAGGATGTGGTAGAATTATTCGTGGAGATGAAGGAGAATGGTTAGGTGGTTTTTCTAAGCATCTTGGTATTTGTAGAGTGTATGAGGCCGAATTGTGGGGTGTGTTTGAGGACCTCAAATTGGCGATAGATATGAGATTTTTAAAGATAGATATTTGTGTTACTCCAAACAGGTGGTTCAAGATATTAATAATAATTATGTCTGTGATGCGTTGAGAAGAGACCTTATTAAAAAAATTAGGTACCTTTTCCAATCTGACAATGATATTTGGCTTATGCGTGTTTTGCGAGAAGCCAACAGGTGTGCAGATGCTCTTGTGAAGGAAGGCATTCAGTCTATGGAGTTTTATTTTTTTGAGTCGTATCTTTTATTTGTGCAGCGTGGGTATGAGGATGACCTGGTAGGGTGTCAGTGTCTAGATTAGCTGTTGTGTAGTGTTCTTTTTTTGGACTTAGACTCTCCCTTTTATAAAAAAAAAAAGAGGTCTTTGTTGTAGTTTTTTTTTCTTGTCTTGCTTGCATAGTTGTGGATTGTAATCTTTCTCTTGAATGATCCCTTTCATAAGTGTTATTTCTTTTCTTCAATTTTTTTGGGTGCCTTCTGCTATGCTTTTCTCCTCGTTTTTATGAAAGCTGAAAAACACAATTATCAACCTTAATAGAATCAAGAAATGGTGGAACACATAGGAACCAACAATGATCCTAATCATGTTCATCATCATTAAACTTGTTAGTGAAAACACATATAGCATCAGTTCAATGGACCAATTCCAACACTTTATCATCAAACCTAACCACAGAAAAATTATGAAAATTCATCATGAACATAGAATTGAACCTTTCTTAATTCTCATGAAAAATTCTAGCTATATCCCTAATTTCCCTATCAATGATAATCCCTATAATACTCACATAAGAAACTCCCCTTATGGCTCTGATCTAATCGAATTCCCGCTCTTTCAATCAAGCACAATAACTGATTAGAACACTTAAAAATTTTACTAAGTCCAAAACTCTGCACACCCTTCGACCTTCAGTTACACTCTTTGATCAACATCATCATATATGTCTTTTGACATTGTCGCTACTCGAAAAATGCATCGCGCAACGACGGGAAGGCGAAAAAGATAGACAGACGAGTCGCCACCGAATTTTATTTATCCCATGAGGGGAAAGGAAAATATCGAGAAAACCTTAAGAAAGAAATGGATAAGATGGTCTCGCAACCAAGAACGGGTTCGGAAGCCGGTTATGCGAGGGGAAGGTATTAGCACCCCTCGCATCCATCGTACTCGATGGGAACCTTTTGTTTGTCGATGTGAATTTATTTGCTTAAACATTATGCTATAAAAAGAGTGTTCTAAAAGATAGAGAGAAGGGTTTAGAAACGCGAAAAGAGAGGTAACAGAGGGAGAAAAGAGAAAGAACAGACTCGGTAGGACTTCGCGGTCCTAGGCCTACGTATTCTCAAAAGATATGAGAAAGTCAGAGTCGACGTAGTTCGGGGCTACGGATATTGGGGGAATGTGCTCGACAAGGATTGTGGCCCTTGTGCCTACGTATCTTTACTTAAAAGAAGTAAAGAATCAGAGCAGCCGTAGTTCGGCCTACGGTGTGTTGATGTTTTTTATGGATGATGCTATCGTGCGCATTCTAGCAGTTAGGTGTTTTGCTGCTCGCTCGTTGGAGACTTAGGCGTTACCTGTTTGCGGTAGAACGGACGTAGCATATCCTTTTTGAAAGATTGATTAGTTTTCGCCGCGCGGGGCAAGAAGTCACGTTGGATTGATTGGATTGTTTTTTTAGGGGCGATATATGTCCTCAGATAGTAACCCCTACGGGTAGTACCCAATTCTTTATCTCAAAGTTTTGTTATAAAAAGGTGTGGCGAACGAGGCGTCTCGTATTGAAAGACGAGCGTCGAAACCACCCTCACTACAGTGGGCATCCCAACGCTCGGAGAAGAAGAGGTCTACACCCAATCCTCTCTCTTTAATTCAATACAAAGGGAACTTCGTTCTCTTATTAAAGATGTTTTTGGTTTTGAATGGTAAGTGCTTTGTGACAGAGAACCCTACGGTAAACGTCAGCACTCGGGATAGGAGAAGGCCTACACCTAACCACTCCACGACCATTCAAGTTTTTGCTGTGAAAAGATTTGAAAATGCACTCAGCACGGGACCGAGGTTTTAGGTGTGAAAATCGCGGGAGGAAGTTAAAGAGGGAGAGGTGGTGGATGGAGGCGTGTCTTCGTATTGAAAGACGAATATCAAGACCACCCTCACTACAGTGGGCATCCCAACATTCGAAGAGGAAGAGGTCTACACCCAATCCTCTCTCTTTAATTCAATACAAAGAGAAGTGATATTATTGTTGAAAGTATACTCAGTACGAGACCGAGGTTTTATGAGGAAATGTTGGGAGCGTCTTTGTATTGACAAACGAGCATCGAGACCACCCTCACTACAGTGGGCATCCCAACACTCGAAGAAGAAGAGGTCTACACCCAATCCTCTCGTTTAATTCAATACAAAGAATTGATTTTGAAAACTGTTTGACAAAGTTTTTGAATCGAGTCAGGACAAATAATGAAGAGAGAAAATGGGTGGTCTCAGATCCAACATTACCTATCAATAATTTGACTGGTAATGAATTACGGAGGTCTCGTCATCGACCAAAACAAAAATGGGTCAAAATGCCCAATGACAAAAGAGAAATGGAATCAACTTCTAAAGAATTAATAAACCAAAACTCTAAAAGAAAACTAATATATTAACTATTATGAGAATAATATATACAACAAAAATATAGATAAGAACTGCTTATAAATTTCTAAAAGAAGAATAAATTATTAAGAAAATATAATAAAAATATAATATATAATATATTAACTACTAATAAATTTTCATAAATAAAAATGTACAAATAATTTATAAAAAAAAAAACAGCTGTTTTATATATATAAAAAACTAACAAAAACTAAAACCTAAAACGAGGGGAAAACGGTGGACCTTCCGGCCCATCAGCAATAACAGCAACGAATAAATAAAAAAGAAAAAAAAGAAAGATCTGATCATCTCGCTTAACAATTACCCCTTGTTCCTCTCGTCACTATTGCTTTTCAAACTCTTTCGCTCACGCTTCTCTCTTTCACTCAATCCATTCACTCAATCCCATCGTCTCTCACTCCATAATCTTTCCTTCTATTTCTGTTCCGCTTGTTTCTGTCTCTGTTTTGATGGGTTGGGTTTCAAGGGTTTGTTGCTGAAAAGAGAAATTGATGATTTGAAAAAATATTGGTTGAAACAAGGAAGGGTGAGGGTTCTATTGGAGAGTTTGTTGTTGTTTGGAGATGGGAGCGAAAATGAGACAGAGGAATGGTTTAAGTCATTGTTGTTCTCAGATCGAAACCTGGTTTACAGCTTTGTGTGTTACGATGATTAAATGGGTTGTTTGGGAGATTTTAACGGAAGGAGGTTAGGGGTTTGTGGTTTTTTTTAGAAGGAGATGATGGGTCTGAAGGCGGTATTTGGAAGGGGATGATGGTCGGTTGAATGAACGCTTGTGGATTTGGGAGAAGTGGAGGTTTGTGATGGTGGGGTTTTCGCGGTTGCGTTTCGAAATGGCAGAAGGGTGAGTTTGTTGAAGAGTTGATTTACGAAAGTGAAATGGAAGATGTTATTGGTTCGTTAATGGTTAGTTTCAGATTGAAGAACAAAGGTTGTGATGTTCATTAATGGAGATTGATTTGAGATGAAGTGTAAATTGGCTGGAGGCGGACACTGTAGCTAGGGTTAGGGTTTCGGTTGGAGGCTGTTTTTTTTTTTCATCAGCTGTCACTTCTCACTAGGTTTTATATGGAGAGGGTATGCAGAGGCTTAAGATGAGGTAGTACAAGTTCTTTTGTCTGTAGTGAGGTAATATCTTCACTTACTTTTCACTGCGGTAATTCCCTCATTTTGCTTTTACTTTGTGGTGGTTAATTTGTAACTCCATTTGCAAAATGATGCAGGG